AGACGAACGTTTTTAATGTCGCCTCGTATAAAATCGATTATATTATTACAAGTATACTACCATATTTTGTGAAACTTATCTATTAAGAAACGTTCTTCGATTTTAGACGAACGTTTCAATATCGCCTCGTAGAAAATCGATTATATTATCACAAATATACTACCATATTTCTTGAAACCTCTATTTAGAAACGTTCTTCGATTTGAGACGAACGTTTTTAATATCGCCTCGTATAATACAAATTATATTATTACTACTACTAAAGCTCATAATTCTCACTAAATTCTGTACTAAAAAACGTTCTTCGACTTGAGACGAACGTTTTAATACCGTGTTATATAGTAGTTCCATTATAACCAAGCAATATTATACATCTTTGGACTGCTATATATATATATATATACACCAAACGATTCTTTGATCAACGCATTGTATCTGGAATATTCTAGATTGTAAGAGAAAAGAATTTCAACTCAATACAGAAGTGACACTATCGACCAATGAACGCTTTACCTTTTCTATTCTCTCTTTTTCTCTCTTTCTCTCTGCTTCTCTGCTTCTCTGCTTCTCTGCTTCTCTGCTTTTCTTTCTTCTTCATCTATATAAGGACCTGTATACCTTAACAACAGTCACTTCATCTTTTAGGATGGTCGAGGTAAGTACAATCTTTTTTACTCATGATTTACTTTTCTCATATCTTCACTTCTACCTATGTACACTAACACTCACTCGTATTTATGTATCAGACTGTAAAATATTCTCATCATTTATGTTCTCTTATATGGATTCCCTTTACAAATACACTTCTGTTTTCATAAATATATATGTATAATATATCATATTATGTTTCATATATATGCCATTCTTTATGATTACAAAAAGAAGAATGTTACTCGTATAACTTTAATCTTCTTTTCAACAAGGTAATATTTCTCATGTTTATTCTGTTGTAGATATTCATATATATATCTTCACTCGAAGCTCTGAAGACTTCTATCTTGTGAAAGATACGAAACAGGTTTACAGAAACAAATAGTAGCTTTTCGTCAATTATTATTCTGGAATTATAATTACCGAAAATATTAGTGTTTCAACAACGTTGATTACTAGAAAGCAAGCGCCCTAAGGAATAAATTGATTTAGTTCCAAGACGGATGTCGTTCCATTTTAAATTTCAATACGATACTGAATTAGTACCACTTCGAAGATATATGAGGAATTTCGGTCGTCGTGGTAGCGATTTTTATGGTAATCGATATGATCATCCAAATCGATATAATCAATATTATTTTGAAGATCGAAACAATAGATATAATCCAAATTTTTATCGTCATAATTATGAACCACGACACTGTTATTATGGTGATAATATTAGTGGCAATAGACACCGACCACCACCACGATATAATAGATTCTATTGGGTTGTCAACTAATTTTTGTCGTTTTTTTCTAAAATTTTCTA